AAAGAGTGAATTTTTCAACTTCTGGTGTTATTTATTTGTGCCTCTATGTGTGTGTGTTTATGTATTTTGAGAGAGGGCGGAGCAGGCCTTGTTTGGTTTGCAGGTTTATGCAAGGTATTGGCAATGAGAGGACTGCTCCTCTGGAATGCAAAATGACCTATTCAGATCTGTTTAAAGTCATGCTAATGCTTCACAGTAGATGATCTTTGGCTCTAGAAGAAGTCCTACTTTTCCTGCAAAAGTGAGTGTTAACAGTATATGTGTTGAAAAATGGAAGAAAAAAGAAAAAAAATCTCTTCAAGTAAAGATACTAAAATTCTTCCCCAATCCAAATATCGAAATGCCTTTCAAGTTGCCTTTGAAACTGTGATACTAAAATTCTTCCCCAATCCAAATCTCGAAGTGCCTTTCAAGTTGCCTTTGAAACTGCAGAAACCTAAATGCTAAAATGCAACTCAAAAATTACATTTTCTGCTGGGTGTAAAAGTAATCTATATCTCTTGAAGGTACAGTTCAAGTACCTTTGGCATTGTTGAGTAGTCTGAGGGCATACTACTGAAGAGCCAAGATACGAAAGTGCCAAGAAGAATTTGGATGTTTGATTGCTTCCATGGAATTTTGTTCTGCTAGAATAGCAGAACTCCAACAGGAGAGCTGCTTACTGCTGTTTAATGTCTTCAGTGGGGTTCCTGGTATGCTCTGAAATGCCATTGCACCAAGTATTTTTTTCAATCCAAGACAGATCTGCAATGACTACACTTTTAAATAAATATTTTCTTAATTTTGGTAAAACATGGCCTTTGAGTAGAATTGGTCTGGCCCTTATGGCTTTTTATGTTAAGTTCTAGATTTCAAGCTGGCATATCATTAATTAGGTATTTCTTGTTTAGAAGGTACCAGTCTTCAGAGGGGGCTCAAAGGAGAATATTATCATCTGTATTGCTGTTAGATTAACTCTTTACATGGTGAAATTGTTTGTCATCTATGATGGTTTGACCTGGCATTTATGCCAGGTACCTACCAAAGCCACTCACCCCCCTCCACAGTTGGACAGGGGAGAGGAAGTACAACGAAAGGCTCATGAGATTAAGGACAGGAAGAGATCACAAACCGTTTACTGTCACAGGCAAAACAGATACAACTTGGGGAAATTTATTGAATTTATTACCAGTCAAAGTTGGAGCAGGATAATGAGAAGTAAAACAAGCCTTAAAAATTCCCCCCAGCCTCCCTCCTTTCTGGGCTCTGCTCCTCCCTCCTAATGGTGCAGGGGAATGGGTAATGGGGGTTGCGTACGGTCAGTCCATCGCACGTTTCTGCTGGGAGAGGAGTCTTTCCCCTGCTCCAGGATGGGGTCCTTCCCACAGGAGACAGTCCTCCACAAACGTCTCCAATGTGAGTCCTTCCCACAGGCTGCAGTTGACAAACTGCTCCAGTGTGAGTTTCTTCCACGTGGTGCAGTCCTTTGAACAGGCTGCTCCAGTGTGGGTCCTCCATAGAGTCACAAATCCTGACAGCAAACCTGCACCAGCGTAGGCTTCCCACCATGTCACAACTTTCTTTTGGCTATCCACCTGCTGTAACATGGGGCTCTTCCACAGACCCAGCTCTGGCACCTGGAGCACCTCCTGTTTCTTCCTTACTGAGCTTGGTGTCTGCATAGTTGTTCCTCTCCCATATTCCCACACCTCTCTTCTCTGGCCACAATTGCTTGTGCACAATAACTTTTTTTTTCCTTCTTCCTTATTAAATACATTACCCTAGAGCTGTTACTGCCTTTGCTGCTTGCCTCAACCTTGACCAGTGATGGGTCTGGCCCAGAGCTGCTGGCATTGTCTCTGTTGTGCATGAGGGAAGTTCCCAGCACCTTCTCAGAGAAGCAACCCCTGTAGCCCCTGCCACCAGAACCTTGTCGCACAAACCCAATGCAGCATCACCTTGATAATTAATGTTGAAGGCTACTCGTTTTTAGCAGAAGTCTTACTTACATAGATACTGCAGTGATGCACTGAGTTTTCTTCTGGCCACCTTCCTAATCCACTGACCATTCAAACTACTTTTGGATAGCCACAGACTGCTAGAACATTTGCAGTGATATTTGTGGGGAACAGGACAAATGTTGGTTTTTAATTACACCTCAAAAATAAATGTAGTTTTACAAGCTGCCTCAAATGCATCAGTTGTTGGTTTAAAGCAGTTTCTCAGCCCTGTGAGTAGGCTTTTCTCTATAAGACAGCCTTGGTATTCAGAGCTTTTTATAACAGCAGGAGGATCCTGCCATATACCAAATCAAAGCCCTTCAGAATATCAATTACTTAACTGACTTCAGCTTCTTTCCCTTTAACCTTAAATCTGGTTTCACTTCAGCCAGCAAAAGGAAATTGTTTTTCTGTGCTTTTTGCTTATCTTTCAGAAATTGCTCCTTGATTAAGGGCTGCATTTCACAACTAACTTTATTTGCCTTTCTTAGGCAAAATTGAAAATATCCTTCTTCTGAGAACTGTTCTTCCTGATACTTCTAATGGATTTCCAATTAGAAGAGAACTTTATTTTTAAATGTTGAAGACTTACGTACCAAACCATTTGCAGTATTGGGTTTTAGTTACAGCTTTAAAGCTTTCATCCCTGCAGTTAAAACAATAGAAGAGTCTGTCCTTAAAAATCTGATGCATATACAACTTATATTGGTACACTAGCTTATAACTGAATTAAGATCTCTGCAGAGACTGAATATAGACTTGAGAAAGATTCCTGAAAGGAAGAGACTTTCTCTTGATGTGCTATAGACCATTTTATCAGCTTTAAAAATGGCACATGCGTTTTGTTAGGAAAAAATAAACTGTAAAACTCAAGCTTGGCTAGCTTAAAAATGGCACTCAAAAGTAGTAACATAAAGACAATGGTAAATACTCTCAAATAACACTGTGAAAGGGATTCATTATTAATGTAAATTCTCACCTAAAACTAATCCTATTAAAATTTTTGCATTCTTGCTGACTCATCTCCTTCCTTCATAGAGGACTACTTGTCTGTCTCTGTCTTCCTTCTGTATAATGTCATAACGAGGTTTAAGACTTTCCTGTTGCATAAGCTTCATAAATGGAATAAGTGGCTTTTCACTGTAAGATGGAAAAGTAGTCTGAGGGGTTTTTTTGTGTTCTAATAGTACTCCATGCAAAGCTTAATTTTCCCTTTTTTTTGTTTTTTTTTCTCTCCAGGGAGCAGATCTTAAGAGTAAAAGAAGATGAGAATGTTCCTTTTTTGCTAGTTGGTAATAAATCAGATTTGGAAGATAAAAGGCAAGTTTCTATAGAGGAAGCAAAAAACAGAGCTGATCAGTGGAATGTTAATTATGTGGAAACATCTGCAAAAACGCGAGCTAATGTTGACAAGGTAATAACTGGCCTCTTAAAGAATCTGTCCATCAGTTTTTCCTTTAGTCTTCTTTTCATAGGTCATACTTTACATGTGCTTTGTTTTAGCAATTACTTTTTAATCAAATTCTCTTCTCTCCTGGCTTGTAGGGAGTGCATGACTAGGTGATTCGTGTAAAACAGTGAAAATGTTAGGCATAACAACTTTATCCCACCCTAAACTGCAAGGAGTCATTATACGAGACATGATACAAGGCCTTATTTCACTAGCAGTTTCTTGGGGCAGTTGTTTTGGCCTAGACTTCTTACTGTGTTTTCTATAATTAGAAGGCAGTCTGCTTTTAAGCAGTGAGGAGTACTGTCTGATCCTCAGTCAGAATAAAACCCTTTATAAAAGCAGGTAAGGGAGGAATTTCTCTACCCTCATTTAACCATCTTCCTGGTTGTATGTTGCTGCAAAGAATGGATGAGCAAAAAAAAAAACTTGGAAAAGCCTAGAAGTGCTTCATGAGTTTTCAGGGTTAAAACCTGGTTCAGAATGTCCTGAGGTAAGAAACAATATTTGTCACCAAGAAAATATTATTTAGTTATAAGTATTTCAGTTGTAACTCTAAAAGACAGGAGTTCTTAGAATTCAGAATAACTGTCAGCCTTGTAGACTGCAAGAGTAACAGATGTGTAGCAAAAGAAATAAGTAGTTTAGTGCAATGTGCCAGCCTTTCTTTTTTAGGCAAACCTGATGACACATTGAACCATAGAGGGGATGGGTTGAAAGGGACCAACCCCGCTGCCATTGCCAGTGCTTTAGGGCCCCATCCAGCCTGGCCTTGAACACTTCCATGCATGGGGCATCCATAACTTCTCTGGGCAACCCATGCCAGCTCACAATGAGTACTTTCTTCCTAATACACTATTTAATGTTCTTCTAGTTCCAAACTGTTCCTACAAGGGTCTTCTCACAAGCTGCCCATGTAAAAAGCCAGTCTCCCTCTTTCTTTTTTTTTTTTAAATTTTTTTTTTTTTTTTTTGGTAAGCCTCCTTTGAGGACTGAAAGGCTGCAATAAGGTCTCCCCAGAGCTGTCTCTCCTGCATACTGAACAGCTCTAGCTCTTAGTCTGTCTTCATAGGAGAGGTGCTCCAGTCCTCTGGACTTGCTCCAACAGGTCCACATCTTTCTTGTGCTGGGGGCCCTGGACCTGGACACAGTACTCAAGGTGGGGTCTCACAAGGGCAGAGTAGGGGGGAAGAAATGCTTCTCTTGACCTTCTGGCCACCCCTCTTTTGATACAGCCCAGGATACCATTGACCTTCTGGGCCATGAGTGCACACTGTTGGCTCATGTGCAGCTTTTCATCCGTGAAAACCCCTAAGTCCTCCACGAGGCTGCTCTCAAGTTCTTCTTTACTCATCTCCTGATTGCCCTGACCCAGGTGCTGTACCTTACACTTCTTCTTTACTCATCTCCTGATTGCCTCGACCCAGGTGCTGTACCTTGCCCTTGGTGAAAAATTCCCTTATGTAAATCCTGTATGAGCTGTCAATTGCAGTATGAGAGCTGTAATGTGAGTTCTCTTTTGCAATAGCTTAAACTCAGCTGTTCTCTCCTGTCAGTTATCTTCCTGTAGGAATTGATTGCTCAGTACTATGACAAGAATTTTGTGCTGTTCTGTAAATTATGTCAGTTAATTACAGCAGAACTCTTCCTCATTGTTGGACACAGCTCTGATTTTTCAGTTGTTATATAAACTAGTATATCTTTTAGCTTTTATGTATTATTGCACTTATAACATGCATCTATTACAGTCATAGAAAGTCCCAGCTTTTCAAAATCCATTATCATTTAGCAGCTGGGTAAAAAGTGTGTGTATATATATTTTTTAATTGCTTTCTAGTCAATTGCACACACATGGTAGGCTACTGCAGAGCTCTGGGTTTCTTTTTGGAGCTGGTGGCATAATGGATCCAGATTAGCATTTGTCATATAAATTTAAGGATTTGGTAGGCCTTAAATGAGGCTTTTTTGGCACAAGCAAATACCAGGTATTTTTAGTTACTTGGAGCATATGAAGTTTTGGGGTTTGTTATGCAAACTGAGGTTACTATTCCATGAGAAATCTGGCCTCTCCAGAATAGTGGGTTTGCCCAGTTGGGATAAACACAGACAGCTTCCACTCACTTTGGCAAAGGTCACCCACTAACTGTTTTCTCAGAAGGTTACGTATCTCAGACAGCTAAATACTGCAGTATGGTATTAGTGCTCAAGAAAGTTGACAGTTGCATCTTACCATTAGCACAGATTTAAGTTCAGGCAAAGAACTTAGTGCACATTTAGAAATCTAAAGGCAATCTCATTTCTTCATGGAAATATTTAGTTCCATTGATTTTCTTTGGATTTCTTGTAATGAAGGTTGATACTTTTTCTGCAGTCAGTATGAGATTAGTGTCATTACAAATAAAAGCAACTGAGCTCTGTAGAGGAGCTTTTCAGCCACTGCACTGTCCATGTTTCACAGAAATAGATGAAGTCCCGTGATAGAGATCTAGAGAATGTCTCTTGAGAGAGAAAAGTTTTAGAATTGCTCAGCTGATTTCCTACAATAAAATTGCAAAGATGAAATTATTTTTTGCTGTAGCTTTCTGTGGGTCAAGTCAAAATCTGCTTTTCACGTTAATAGAGTAGCTTTGAGCAGTGTCCAGTCATAAAGCCTTAACTGTCAGTAGGATCTCTCTTAAATAAGTCAGTGGTGTATCTCCAACTTCTGTCACATTTTTTCCTACTAAACCTTTTGATGAAAATGAAGTTCATGTGTACTTTGAGATTGTAACATGGCAGCTGAGATTACCTGATATAAGAAATTGTTTATGTAGTTGTATGATTGATAACTTTGCTTTAAAGGAAATGCTGATTTATTTTTTTTCCTAGTCACTTTGTGTTGTTTTTTCACTTGCATCATGGAACATGCCATGAAATGTTCAGTGTATGCTACTGATCCATTAATGTTTCTAGGATTGCATGTTGTACTTTTTCAACCTTCGCAGTTCATCACTGTGAAGATACTCAAAACAAACTGATTTCCTTGAGTCTCCCCAGTAAGATGCATGTACAACATTTGAAAACCTTGGCTGGTGATAAGACTCTTGTTTCAATCCTTGTTTAAAATTGTCTGACAGGATTCATAAGCAAATATCAGAAGACAGGGGAACACTCACTGTGGTGTCATGAAAGAAGTAGGATTGCATCATATCAACTTGGCCTTCATAACCAGTGAAAGATTTGTTGGATTAATATTTGTTTGCTCAAACTGGCTGCACGTAATTGACTCTGTTCTAAACAACTGAAACGAGTATCATCAGTGATAGCTTAAATTAATTCATGTCGGTGACTGTATTTATGTTCTTATATCTTTTTTAGGTGTTTTTTGATTTAATGAGAGAAATTAGAGCCAGAAAGATGGAAGACAGCAAAGAAAAGAATGGGAAGAAGAAAAGAAAAAGCCTAGCTAAGAGGATCAGAGAAAGATGTTGCATTTTATAATCAAAAGCCTGAATTCCTTTCCTACCCTGACCATACTAATGAAAACCATAATTTATAAGCATGCCATTGAAGGCTGAAATGACTGAAATTACCCTAACATGTTGGAAATTGTAATGTACCACTAAAAGCATGAATTGGAGCTGCACTGAAAGTCAAATTCACTGAAAAAAAATTACATGGCTTCAAGAGAAGCAAAGTTCAGTCCATTTCATAATTGCCTACCTTCTCACATTTCTTCTGAATGTAGTGTTTCATAGGCTGTCTTTTCTTTAATAGTGAACAGCGGGACGAAGTATTACTTTGTGGGTTCTTATAAAGCATACCTTTTTTTATCACTGGTAATTGTCAATTCATCTTGTCTTTTGTTGCCTTGAAAATTACAATTGTGAACACGATACCTATCAAAGCAGTTCTGCAGCTGTTTTGCCATGGCATTATGCAAGTTAGAAAAGAATAATACATATGCGAACAGTTACATTGAGGAAAACTACATGTGGTTCTGCATTACCTGAATAACTTAGAAGAGTGATGTAATCTTTTACATTGAAACATTTGAATATGCCTTAATTTTAAAACCCAGACATAGCAGGTTGCTTAATCGAGGGTGTGTTTCCAACTTCGTTGCATGGAGACTGTCCCTGCACATCAGTGTGTGACTGCCCTCCCTGTGGAGTGCAGTTACATGAATGATTTCACTAAGAGCTGTCTCCTAGCAGTGTCTGTTCTTTAAATGTGTGCCATACTCTGGTATTGTGAATAATACAGAGCATATTCTGTCATCTGTAACTTGGTAAACAACATGGTATCTTAAAGCTAAAAGGTCAGAACACATCTAAGACTGAAGTCATAAGCCTATGGCACATCTAAGCCTGGAATGGTTGTTTAAAATTCAACGTGCTGGTACCTTGAAACTTCCCTTTTGCACGTAGATTTTTGTCTAGATGTTCCTTGGGTTTTAACTCCCTGGAATTGGGTGGAGTGGGGCTGATCTAGTAGTGCTAATGTGTTTTGAGTTAAGATGTTGTCTGGGAAATTCTGGTTAATTTCTTTTGTGTTCCTAGTACTCAGCTATGGGAACACGATGTGCTATGCTGAAGCTCTTTGCAGGTTTTGTACTGTTTAGTCTGTGTTGATTTTCAAATGGGGAACAGTGTAGCTACTTTTTCTAGTTAATGTTGATATCAAACAATCAAACATGCTTTGCAATACAGAAATGTTTAACGAGTACATCCAAAATCCCCAAACAAAACATACTGCCTCAGTTGCTTCAGAACAGCAAGAATACTAGCACATGGTTAGTATGCTGCATCTTAACTAAAAATATACCAGAATGTTTGAGGGTTTTGGACTCCTCTGGGGCGAGACAGGCTAGATCAATTCCACAAACTGTTATACTTTTTATACATGTGTAAGCCTATAACTGACAGTTTAAAACGTGCTCAAGCAAACTAGGTAAGAAGTATTTAACTTTCATGCTAACACACGTTTTAGGGACTCAAGTCTTAGAAGTTAAAATTGTCATGTTAAATATTTATCAATAGGAATTTTGTATGTGCATTGAGTAGACTGCCAAGTGCAGAATTAAAGTTACTCATGTAATTATGGCAGATAAGCCAGTCTTCATCTTACTGTGTACTCATTTGGGTCTATTTAGCCAGGGAGTCTAACCACTAACATTGTGACTTTGCTTTGGAACCTGTATACTGGGAACTGAGGTGTTATGAAGCCACTGGACACATCAAACTTGTCTTGGCTGATGCCTTATTCTGTCCTTTTATTTGCTATTTGAGCCATTGAAAGATGAATAAACTTCCATTTTTTCTAAAATACTTGTGCAGTGTGAATTGATAACTATGTGGTTCATAAACATTCCTATAGCTGATGCCAGTTGTTAAGCAGTTAAACCTTAATACTGCAGAACACTGGTTTGTGTGCATGAACGAAATGACACAGTAAATGTAATTAGTTTGATAAAGACACTTCCTAAAAGCTGAGACCATGTATGTGTTGCCTTTTATCCAGAGCTAACTTAAAAAGAGTATCAGAAAACAGGCAAATAAACTGAGGTAAACTCATTCCAGATTACTTTTCCAATAAGAATGGAAGGTGATATTTTAAAAACAAAAACAAAAATAAAAACCAACCAACAAAAACAGACAAAACCCCAAATTAAAAAACTCAAACCAACCTACATTAAGCTTTAATAAAATGTATTCTAAGTAAGTTTCTTCTGGCATGCTCATGGAGAATTTAAATGTGCTTACTCAACCTGCAGGGAATGTAGCTTGCATCGTGTATTACAGGGTTTGGGTACATCTTGAGAGAGTCATCCAAACTGAGTGATGCATTTGCGTTGTAGAGGAGTGTTTGGTTTAACCTACTTGTGTGTCTGAAACTCACAGGTCTAGCAGCTGTGTGCTTCTGTGCCTAAGGGCACTTTTCATCCCCTATTTCTCCTCTGAGAAGTTGAAGATATTTTCTTCACTGGTAGGATCAAAGTTTTCCATGGTAGTTCCCTCCATGTTAGCCTAGCGCTGGCAGTAGTGTTGCTCCCTTTCGTTGAAATGCAGACTAGAGAGAGGTGCCTTAATTTGTAGTAAGCTATAAAGTTCATCTTCCTTTATGTATGAAACTAATGTTGAATTTTTATGCTAATTCTGGTTTTCTTATTTAGCTTTTCACAGCTTTAAAAACTCAGTTGACTTTTGAAAGTGCTGCCTTAAAATCTGTGGTCTGTTTGGTTGTTTTTATAGCCTTGTGATGAGCATACAGTAGCTTAATGATAGTAGTGTCTAGCAGTTTGACTGTTCTGCAACAGCATCACAGTGTGCAGAAAGTGCTTGCCATTCATACAGACCTTGCTAACACCACAGCAGCAAGTAGAACAACCCCTTTGGCAATTCCAGTGGCAATCATAATGCAATAAAATACACTCCATAATTGAGCCTTATGCTCACTATGTTAATCCATAGGAGCCAAATATTCTGTTTATATGTCATATGGGCTTCCTGAAAATCTTGGTTTCTTTTTGGGACGCTAAACTTTGCAATGCCTGTGTGGTTTCAGTTGGAGGGGAGGTGTTCTCTGCTTGATTATAGTTCAGTGCAAAATGCAGAGCAGCAGAGTGATGGGTGGTATCACTTCAGTGCATATAATACATTTAGCTGTGCTAGAAGTGAATCAGAAGGTAAGACTCAGCCTATGACAACTGAGAATTGAAGAGGGAAAGCTAATTGCATGCTTTAATTTCTAAACTTTATTTCTCATTCCTGTCAGACATTTTGTCTCTTCTAGCCATGTGGATGCATAGCCAGTCATGTGCATAAACTGTATTTCTTTCCAAATTCACTCCCAATTTTTGGCTGTGACTTTTAACTAAAATGACTGGCTTTGTTTTTAAGAGGTGACTTCTGAAAGGAACTTCTTGTATATTTTTGGGGGAGCTTCAGCTTGTTGCTAAAATTGAATGGTCAGAAATGTGCCAGTGTTGCTAATACTGGAGTGTAAGTTAATCTTTGATCTAAATACCCAGGCCAGACTGGAATATTTTTAGTTGAAGCTTCATTGTCAAGAAATACTAAAATGCATACCACTTGACATTTTCCCAGGATCTGACACATACTAAGATTCTTCTCGTTTTCAAAAGATCCTGACTAGATCTAACCAGCTATCTAACCGGTACATTCCATTTTGGGAAAATATTCGGAAGATATAATTTGTTTTGTGTGTGCTAGGACATTTTACTTTTGTCACCTTTTATCCTGCTGTGCAGAATGTTGATTTAGAAATACATGTCTATTCACTTGTTGAGCTTGTAGCAATCACATTTTTTTTGACCTGTTCGTTCCAATTTCAATTTGACCATATTTATGGCAGGGGAGCAAGGAGAGGAGTGGAGGAAGCTGATGGCACCACCTGATGGCAAGTGGCCATCATCCATGGGCAGCTGTGGAAGCACATGGTGGGCAAAGGGAGCAATCAAGAAGCGGGCAGAACCCAGGTGAAAGCTCAGAGACTCTTTGCAAGGCTTTGGGTCCTAAGACAAGGAGCAGGAACCAAAACTCTGCACAGCAGGGATAAGCACAAAGCACTGGCATGCTCCTGTTGCCAAAGGCAAGGTGGGACAAACAGCCAGCAAGGCCCACATGACTGACAGTGCCAAACTGCAAACCAGATACATTCTCTTTGTTTCTGCTCCCTGACAGCATCAGTACTGATTTTCAGGTATTTTCATGTTATCTGAGTAACAGGTGAGACAGCACATGCCGTAGTGTTGGATCTACATTTTTTCTACTCTTCTGCCTTCCTCTTCACAGGGCTTGCTCTCATTCCTCTCCGAAAGGGAGTAGGCAGTAAATGGTTACAGACTGTGAGCTGCTAAAGTCGTTAATGCTGCTTCCTGTGCTTGTGCTGTAAGCATAGAGTAAAAAGAGGTTGGAGGTAGGTTGGAAGAAGCCTCATCCACAGCAGCAGCTGTGACAGCAGTCTTGCACTCTTTTTTTCACAGAAGCTCTGGAGGAGGATCTGGGATCTTGAGGTAGCACAGAGTTATTCTCCTCTCTGTGTTTCTTATGGAGGGAGAAGGCTAAAGCTGTCCATTTTCCACCTTATTGTTCTTGATGGATGCTATGATGGCTTATTTTTTGACAGTGTCCCAGGCATGAAGGAGAGGATCTGGTAAGATGGAGCTCGTGCCTCATGTGTGTCCTGGCTAAGAGTGGAGGCATGATGATAACCAACAATTTGAGTCTTACATTTTAGACACTGCATGATGTCCTTGAAAGTAAAGAACTGGTGTTTGCCCTCAGCTCAGCTCAGCACACTTGGTATGATTCTGTTATAGTTATTTTTGCTTTTTGCTTCTTTTGTGAAGAAAAACTTATGGGATAAAGTCAGGTTTTTTTGACTTGCTTCTTTTGTGAAGAAAAACTTATGAGATAGAGTCAGGTTTTTTTTGAGTGCAACAAATCAGACCTGTTGGCTGAAATGCTGCCAGACTAATGTGTTAAATATTAGTCATCTCTAAAGAATGAGTCTAAAACAGCAATCCTTCTGTTTTAT